ATGTGGGGAAGACCTTCCGTGCATTCAAAGAAAGGATGAAGGAGCATGTCAGGTTGCCAAACAAAATCGTCTTGACACACCAATCTCCAGACACCTTAAGGAAATGCATGGTGGTGACCGCTTAAACCTTAAATTCTGCGGTCTAGAACTAGTGAAGAGAGACCAACAACGTGGAAACTACGATAGGACCCTTAGACAAAGAGAGTCCAAATGGATTTATAATTTGAAAACCCTTCAACCTTTGGGTTTAAATGAAGGTTTTTCGTTTGCACCTTTCATTTAGATGTATTTTACTATGAGTGGACTCTGTAAGTCCAGTCTTGGATCATAGATCCGTCCTTCCTGTGGTCCCCACTATTGGCACTCTGATGTCTCCTCCAGTTTGTTATGAGTGGCATTTCTATTATGATTCATGTATATATGTATATTTGTATATAGTTTTTCATTTCTTTTTGTGATACACATACCAACATGTGTCTATGGATATGGCCATTCCCATAGTTAATTAAGTGACCACGTCTGTGGCGATAACTATATTTTTTGGGCATCTCACTCGGTTCAACTGTATTCACTTGCCCTTGAATTTTCCATATATTGGGCCACAAATGTATATAACTGTTCTCCTGATTTGTCCTCTCCCCTTATAGATATATATGTGAAGGGACAATGTTTTCTGCAGAATAGGGGGTAATGTGTCTTATTTATATAGAATGGACCATACCCCTTTTGACCTTCCACAGAACTACTAGCTCTTGTAAGGGGAACAGGCTGGTCATTTTAAGAAACAGATTGGGTGTTTCCCTCCCCTATAAAAACTTCTCCAAATACCCTTTCTCCCCCTATTTCTTTACAGTCTAATGTCCTAACTGCCCCACTTCGTGACATCACTGAGCCTCTCTACTATGGGACTATGTCCTTTATCTTATGGCTTCAACTCCACTTCTGTATTTGGGTATTCTTATATTATTTCATTTTGGGCATGCTGAGTGAATTATGTATTAGTATTAGGTCCTTTTTACTTATTTGTGATTGACAACTATGATCTTATGGATATTGGGACTTTTTCCCAAGTTCTGTCCTTTGGGCAACATGGGAATCATGTGTCCCACGTTATTCTTAACTCTACCGCATGATCTTATGCCCCAAACGCATGCGCCTTTGAACCCTGCGATGTTTAGAAATTCATTGCACGGCTCTAAGTCCCTGCGCATGCTCTATTGGTCTATAGCAGGCAAGTCTTATGCCGCCCTTAGTCCGCCCCCTTTTCTCATTTGGGGGCGGAGTGGAGGTTGCTTTCCTATACGTGTATGTACGCATGCGCAAATCCGGGCGCATGCGTAAAGTGGAACTAGGTTGAACGAAGTCTCAACGCATGTGCGGATCCCACTCCAAGAAGGTACACAGGTAGGAGGGACCACGCATGCGCTGTAGACACGAGTATGGGACGAGCCTTTGGATCAGGTAGGAGATTCTCCACCTGTTGTCAGAGAGGGTGTTTCTCACTTTGAGGTAAGGGGAGGGATTTCTGTGTGGACAGCTAAATAAATGGCCCAATTAGAGCAAGGTCCTGCTGCCCTTGAGAAAGGCGGAAAGTACCGCCGAAACGCGCGTTGGGGTTTTTGATCCAACATTGTGTAGTTAGGAGGACTCTTTGACGGATGTTCTCCTTAACTACCCTATAGAGCTTAAGTTAATTGGGCTGTAAAATTGACTCTCCTCCATCAATATTCATACTTTGTTTCAACTACCTCTAATCTCCTGTCCTTTCGATTTACCTATCTGCTGCTATCATTATGAGTGAATGACTCCCTAGTAAGTACGATCGATCTCTGGGGTTATTTCATCCTGGCAGCTCAGTTTAGGCTATTAGCCCTTTTGTTTTGACAACCAGTTTTAGATGGACTTTTTAGTTCACCCGATAGAAGGTGACACATTACCATGCCACTTATTTAATGGGCTATTTTTGCTTGTTTCTGACTATTAGGAGACTGGATAAGGTGAAGAGAGGAATTTCTTTTGGACTCTTATTTTATCCAACTTAGTCCTGCATTTAAGGAGTTTAGTGGACCAGTATGTTATACTATTCTCATATCAGCGATAGCTTAGCAGTGCCTCTATAGCGCAGAGTATTGAGGTCTTATGTTTTTTTTTTTATTGTGCACAAGATAACATAAAAGCCGACAATGCCACAACAGCATAGTACAAGCCCATTAAAGCAAGATTGTAACGGATCGCCTGGCACCCCGACTGGGTACCTCCGTTGAAGGATGCTTCTAGCGCTTCCTGAGGACTCCAAGCACTCTGGCAGACACCACAATCACCGAACCGGAGAAACAAATAAATTCTCCCAAGCATATGAATGCTGTAGCCAGTTGAATAGGTACCATACGAATAGGTTTACTCTCCTAGCAGTCAAACTGGAACAACATACAATAAATCCTTCCCCCAATAATGAGACAACACTTCACTTTGAGGGTTAAAACAGGAACTCCTGTGCTGGCACACCCAGCCTGGTTTTTATTACAGCCTTTCACATACAGGACCGCCCACAGGGAGGTATAAAACAACCAATCACATATCAGTTACATCCCACATATTCCCTCCCCTTATCCTGAGAGGAAACTCAACTACACATACAGTTAAAACATACTTTCTACCCAACTTTCATAACTCTAAAACTATACATCACATTCACATAAAATTACATATTCACAATCAATCCATTCAGGGGAACAACATATTAAAAAATGGCATGAATCCGACCAGGGGTTCAAAAGTTAGTAAAAGTATCTTTTGGGCCCTGGCTGGCACATGGCTATCTGGCTCAAACAGGTTTTACAGAGCCCTCTATCCGGGAGACAATGGGGAAAGTAATCCATTTATCCAGGGATAGAGGCAGACTCCATTGAGCACATGGTTGCAAAAAGACATAAAACACTTTAAAGTACCTAAAGTCACCTTTTACACATAGCACACAGACATTTCACATATCCCCAGATAGCTGGGATCTGAGCGCACAAAACTACCGAATAGCGCTCAGATCCTATTCACACAGTTCCATTGCCATGGAGCCGAAGTCTTTAACTACACGAATGGGCTCCATGGCATAGCTATCTGGGTTAACACATTTACATAAAGTCTGGTCCATAGTCCAAAGGCAAGAGGCAGGCAAGCAGCCCCCTCCAAGGACACGTGGTGAGGGCGGTTTCGCCACAAAGATTATTCACATAGATGGCATAGGATTATTGGCACATTTTTGTATTTTTGAGGATAAAAATACATCGAGTTGTAAATTACCAAAGTGACAGGTAGTAACATCAGCGAATGTAACGTAGTGGGTTTTGTGAGAGTAACTTAATAAAATGCATATTCTAACAGCATGGCTGGTCTGAATAGTGCTACACAGCTAACTGGTCCAAAATAGGCATTAAGGTGGCTTGTTATGCTAAGCCTATTATAATTGAATGAATAAGTGAGGAGTGCAATACTCAGTCGTTTTACTAATGGCTTGTCTAATAACCTAGATTAAACATTAGGGATGAGACACTAATTAACATAGGTGCTTCCTAAGGCTGTTAGTAAGTAAGTTTAACGGTATGCTGTACTATAGAACTCAAGATGTAGACATGCTAGTGTTAAATGGTGTTTGTATGATCATTATATCACCCTGGCCGGATTAGAGTTCTTGGGTTGGTTTGCGTTCCAGGACTTTTCGGCTTGGTGGGCCCGTGCGGCCGGGAACGAGTGTCCGCTGGTGCGGGGGTTCGAGCAGCGAAAAAGATACCAACGAGTGTTGCTCGTTGGTATCTTTTGGGCTGCTTCTCCGGCTGGCCATGGGTACCTCTTCTGGACTTCCCGAGGTGAGCGCCTGTCAGGACGGGTGTTTGGGCACTGTGTGATACAGTTGGCTGCTGGATGAGACCGCTGTTATGGCCGTCGGTGAATGTTGTCGGCCTTGCTATGGGAGTTCCTTGGTCTGTTGCGAGGTTGGCAGTCTCTGGCGGTGGAAGGTCGGGTGCAGTGTGGGCTGGTTCCGCTGCCCTTGTGGCTCGGGCTAGGCCTCCTCCGCTGTTTGCCTGTGGCGAGTTCCGTGTAGTGGGCTGGTAAGTAGTTGCTTGTGGGGTTGCGTTGTCTAGTGTGAGGAGCTTGAGTTCTTCTGGCCCCTTGGGCCCTTGTCCAGAGACCCATTTTGTTGCTCTACTCCCTGCGAGGGCGCACTCCCTCTCCCCGGCCCCAGCACACATGGCAGCCATCTTGGATGTCGTGTTTGGGCCTATGAGCGGGATGGTGGTGCCTCTGGGCCCTGGATGTGTAGCCTCTGGGTGAGGACCGGGATCATCCCCGCCGGTCCAGAGGGGGGGGGGACAGGGCCAGGACCGCCCGGGTCTTGATCTCCAGCTTCGTACCTTTAGGCGGGATAGTGGGGCAGCAGCCGTCTGCCCCTCTCACCGCCGGCGTAGGCCCCAACTTGTTCATTGCGGGCTTCACCTCCTGGGGACTGTAGCTCCGTGAGCTAGCCTCTCCCAGGACCTGGTAACTTCGTGGTTCTGAAGACCATTGCTGCCGGTCAGTAGTAAGGTCATTTTACATATTTTTAAGCTTATTTGTGGGTATATTGCAGGAGCCGAACTTATGTGCGACCGTCCAGCTCGGCGGTCCGGCTCCGCCCCCAGAGTATTGAGGTCTTATGTTAGTGATAGACTTGTACATGCGGAGGGGGCTTTTAGGAATTCTTTTCTATTCCCCAATAATTTTCCAATAATTTATTTTTTTCCTATTGTTCCCTAGGGTTAGGCCCTCTACTACCTCAGTAACCCTTTTCTTCACCTCTGACCTGTTTTTTTCCAGATTAAGGGGTGTTGTCTATCCAACTTATAAAAGAAGATATTGTCCAGTTTTTACTCTTTGCACATAAGTTCAAATCAGACCACATACCATAACAAACATTGCTTAAATATTAAACAAGCTACCTATCTTGTTTGCTTACATACATTTCAGAACGGCATTCTGAAGTCATGTGATATTTATTACCTTTGAATCTCAATGCTATAAAACAGTCATATCACTAGTAAAAGCAACTTCCTTACAAATAAGGAAGAGAGCTACTAAAATAAATTCTTATAAAAAGCTGACAGTCGATCCGTGCTTCATACAGTCAGAGAAAGCAGAAAGAGCCATGAGATCCAGTCTGCTCACAGCCCTAATTTTCACCCTGGTTACAGGTACGTTAAACAGGACAGTAAGAATTATCCTTAGATTAGAATTAGCCTAATCTAGCAGATAACCCAAATGGTTAATTCTCCCCTCTCCCCTTTACTGCATCCAGTCCTCCCCTTAGTGCCCCTTGTGTGTGATTAACCTTCCAATTGTCACTTTTTATTATAAATATTTAGTACAACGTATTTTAGTCTTCGTACATAAAAGGTGAACTCTATATTTTTATACAATGCGTATCTCAAAATGTAAAAATAAAATATTACACTTACAGTGACATCATTTCAGAAAAGAAAATTTGAAACTTGCATTTGCAAGGCTTATTTACTAAATTATGACTTTGTTGGGGAATTCAAAGCGAATTCAAATCAAATTTCATATATTGGGCCATAATAGAAATATTGCAAAAATCTTTACATCATTGGGAATAATTTTAGTTTTAAGCACAACTAAAATTAAGAAACAATTAATTGTGTCTTTTTTATTTTATAAAGGTAAATATTTTAGAATACACTTCAAAGAAGTGTCCTCCCAGCTTGCATATAAATAATTGAAATTGCAGAATGGATGAAGCTGGGTGGAGAAATTAAACACCAAATTAAAGCAGCTATTAAAATCAATTAAACATTGTAAATAAATTTAAAAAACCATTAGCGCTAACCAGTTTTAAAAAGAATGCATTAAACAGAGTTACACTGACTTACTCATTTCAGCTATATTAGCTACATAACATTCTGTGGAATTTCAAGGGATCATTTATTGAAGAACAGTTACTTTATCGTATTTTATCCTTATGTTTACGTATCACATATAATTAACTAATGAATAATTGTGAGGATTAAAAATAAAATTAATTGGAAAAATCCACACCTCGCTATCCTGCAAATGACCCAGATGACTGTGTCCCTCTTAGCTCCCTGTCAATCATAGTTATAATCTATGTTCTTCGCACATGTCAGCCAGCCAACAATGTCATAGCCAGCGGTAGATTAGCTTTTTTTAATCATCTACCCAGTCTGACCGGAAACTGCTCTCTGCTCCCAAATTGCTGTCAGACTGGGTAAAGGATAATATCATTCTCCTCAAGGCCATCCTACACGGACTGACTGGCAGGAGGTGAGATTCTTGCCCCCTCCCCCACTGGTCAAATGAATATTGCGCCAGGTGACACTCAGAATATAGGACGCAGGCAGTTTTTTACCCAAAATTCAGGGGTAAAAATACTGCGTTCTATATTCCTAAAAATATGGTAGTTAAAACAAAATGACATGGCCATGAACATACGTGTTCAATTTTTTTCATATATTTTCAACAGGGATGGTATTTGCTGCACCAGAAGGGCTAATTTCACAGGAGGTAAGTGATTACCAAATATCTGTAATGTTAATATATCATTTAGACAATCACTTTAGTTGAGAAATATGTGTAGAGTTTAGAAGATAGACATATCCTGGAGTCAGTCTAGAGCAGGGGTGCCCCAAAGGTAGATCCCCAGATGTTTTAAAAATACAGCTTCCATGATGCTGTCATGCTAAGCATTTTTAAAGAAATACATAGCAGCGTGGGAGTTGTAGTTCTACAACATCTGGGGATCTACCCTCTGGTCTAGATTGTTCAGGTGCCAAGGAGGAAGAAATAAACCGAATTCTTATAAAATGATCAAATATTGATTTAAGCATCATTATTATAAAATGATCAAATATTGATTTTAAGATTTGGTTAATCGTATTTTATTCTATAATATATTATATTGGCAAAATATGTAACACATTAGAATAGCTCACAAGAGATCCCAACATGATCTGTATACTATCATTAAGACATCGGTGCCATCTGTTCATTTTCTGTGACTTTATTTCTACCTATTGGGGTAATTTGTTTTTTAGCGTTGATACCTAATAGTCATGAAAATAGTTTTTCAGAGTAGATATCCGATAATTGTGGATTCTTTATCCACTGGTATACTTTATTTTATTTTTTACTCCTCCTTGTTTCTAAAGATAATGGGGGAAAATACTACACGAAAATAGACTACATAATAGATCATTTTCCTTAGATACCATTTATTGCCTAAAGGCACTATGTAATGCCTTTTTTGGTGATTATTTTTCTATTGATAGCTAAGTAAGGGTATTACAGAACCCTTATATATAATATGCAGCTATATGCTTGATTTATATTTGTACTTCTAATTTTATATAAATCAAATGCAGCAAAATTCTTTATATAAATTTGCACTTTTAATTTAATATATATATATAAAAAGTAGCGATATTCTTTATATAAACTTCCACTTTTCATTCAATATATATAAAATGTAGCAATATTCGTTACTTGCACTGTGCAACGTATATATAATAGCATCCCATTATCTGTTGGGATGTGATAGATCAGTCTGCATTCTATTCATACATCAATATCTATCCATTAATTTATCTTTATTCATCCTTCCATCCATCCATCACTTTAGATAGCTCTATTAATCTATCCATCGATCTATCAAGCTATCACTATGGAGTCTGTTCATTAAATACCAAACTGCAGTGAATTAAAAATCAGATTGCAAGATATTCTGAGCCGTGAGGAGGGCAGTGTCGGAGAAGTGGAGGTCTGGAAAGTTTCCAACCATGGCAGCAATTGTCCATAAAATATCAGATAATATGCTCATGGACAAGCAAACAGCCATGGTCTGTGGATTCCTTACATGATACAGATTGGCATCGTCACTGTGGACTGAGTATCTGGTTTAACAGACCAATATGAAGGAATCTGCAGTATTTTTACTGTCTTAATTCAATTTTGTCTCCAATTCTCTTCCATTTTCTTATTTTCTTCTCCCCTGTAGCAGTGGACACTCTAACATGCATGTATCCCATTGGGCATTTACCAACTGCGAGCTGAGTGACAGATCAACTCTCCAAGTCTGCGTGCCCAGCTCCCAGGCACATTGCAGCCCCTCACCACCTAGGCATCCCACAACAGCTCTGATTAAGGGGTTATTAATGGACATACAGCTGACACTGGATGTAGATATAATGTAGCGGCCTTAAGAACCAATTCCAAACTGCAGCCTCTAGTGTTGCTATTTGACAGCTAATAGAGGCATTGGAAGGAAAAAAAAGAAAACTACTGTTTCTCAAAGAAAATGCCCCTCTTTTAAAGTTAATACTGCAGGGGCAGCATTTTTGCTCTGAAACCACTTTAAGCTGAGGTGGTTTTGATGCTTAGAATGATCATTAAAAGTGTGTGGGGTATCTGTAAGTAGGAGGAAGTAAAGGTGTGAAGCTAAAATCCCTTTAGGAATTAACTGAATACGAAAAGGGTTATTCTTTGGCCTTAAATTTGGAATTCGCTTCGGTGAATATCTTTGTAAAAGGTGGGGAAAGACAATATGGCTGGATGAGAGAATAGAAAAATAATCTTTCAAGGGTGACATGAACCAGTCTTGGTGGAGGGCTCATAAAAATGACAGGATGCCCACCATCATTGCCCACCATGTACTGAAAGGTGTTAACGATAGTTAATCTGATTTTTTTTAGCCCTGCACCATGTATAACCCACCCTATCTCTGTTCAGCCTGTGTGTTCCAGGTATTTGAATACGTATTGTCCCCGAGAGTACACCCCGGTATGTGGAACAGATGGATACACCTATGGAAGTGAATGTCATTTGTGCTGGGAAAATAAGTAAGGGAAATGTCTACCAATAATATAGTGTCTTTGGTTTTACTCCACAGTGAGATTTAGAAATTCAAAATTTCTACTACTAATTTCTAAGACCAACTTAAAAAAAATAAACCAAATAGAATTTATTTTATTTATTTTTTAATGTCTGTAAAAATTATGTCATGTAGTATTTATGCTCATAATTTTTTTATTTATTTTTTATTACACATACACATTGCCAATTAAAGGGAAACTGTCACTGCTCTCTCTATACTGACTGCCAGGTGTAAAGGGCGGAGCTTATAACAATGATTGACAGGGAGCTAAGATGGAGCTTATAACAATGATTGACAGGGAGCTAAGATGGAGGTGGCTCTCTCTATGCTGACTGCCAGGTGTAAAGGGCGGAGCTTATAACAATGATTGACAGGGAGCTAAGATGGAGGTGGCTCTCTCTATGCTGACTGCAGATGGAGGTGGCTCTCTCTTTACTGACTGCCAGGTGTAAAGGGCGGAGCTTATAACAATGATTGACAGGGAGCTAAGATGGAGGTGGCGCTCTCTATACTGATTGCCAGGTGTAAAGGGCGGAGCTTATAACAATGATTGACAGGGAGCTAAGATGGAGGCGGCTCTCTCTATACTGACTGCCAGGTATAAAGGGCGGAGCTTATAACAATGATTGACAGGGAGCTAAGATGGAGGTGGCTCTCTCTATACTGACTGCCAGGTGTAAAGGGCGGAGCTTATAACAATGATTGACAGGGAGCTAAGATGGAGGCTGCTCTCTCTATACTGACTGCCAGGTGTAAAGGGCGGAGCTTATAACAATGATTGACAGGGAGCTAAGATGGAGGCGGCTCTCTCTATACTGACTGCCAGGTGTAAAGGGCGGAGCTTATAACAATGATTGACAGGGAGCTAAGATGGAGGCGGCTCTCTCTATACTGACTGCCAGGTGTAATGGGCGGAGCTTATAACAATGATTGACAGGGAGCTAAGATGGAGGCGGCTCTCTATACTGACTGCCAGGTGTAAAGGGCGGGGCTTATAACAATGATTGACAGGGAGCTAAGATGGAGGTGGCTCTCTCTATACTGAATGACAGGTGTAAAGGGCGGAGTTTATAACAATGACTGACAGAGAGCTAAGATGTCGGCGGCTCTCTCTATACTGACTGCCAGGTGTAAAGGGCGGAGCTTATAACAATGATTGACAGGGAGCTATGATGGAGGGGGCTCTCTCTATACTGACTGCCAGGTGTAAAGGGCGGAGCTTATAACAATGATTGACAGGGAGCTATGATGGAGGTGGCTCTCTCTATACTGACTGCCAGGTGTAAAGGGCGGAGCTTATAACAATGATTGACCGGGAGCTAAGATGGAGATGGCTCTCTCTATACTGACTGCCAGGTGTAAAGGGCGGAGCTTATAACAATGATTGACAGGGAGCTAAGATGGAGGTGGCTCTCTCTATACTGACTGCCAGGTGTAAAGGGCGGAGCTTATAACAATGATTGACAGGGAGCTAAGATGGAGGAGGCTCTCTCTATACTGACTGCCAGGTGTAAAGGGCGGAGCTTATAACAATGACTGACAGGGAGCTAAGATGGAGGCGGCGCTCTCTATACTGACTGCCAGGTGTAAAGCGCGGAGCTTATAACAATGACTGACAGGGAGCTAAGATGGAGGCGGCGCTCTCTATACTGACTGCCAGGTGTAAAGGGCGGAGCTTATAACAATGATTGACAGGGAGCTAAGATGGAGGTGGCTCTCTATACTGACTGTCAGGTGTAATGGGCGGAGCTTATAACAATGATTGACAGGGAGCTAAGATAGAGGTGGCTCTCTATACTGACTGCCAGGTGTAATGGGCGGAGCTTATAACAATGACTGACAGGAGCTAAGATGGAGGCGGCTCTCTCTATACTGACTGCCAAGTGTAAAGGGCAGAGCTTATAACAATGATTGACAGGGAGCTAAGATGGAGGCACACGGGTACAAGATAAGGATGTGTGGATTTTTACATTTAATTTGACTTTTCACAAATCACAAATACATACTTAGTAAATACAGGGATAAGAAAACATTACATTGATTTTTTTTCTGAAGTGACCATTCTTTTTTAACTAGTTCTGGTATGATATAGGTCATTTTTAGGATTGTGGTGAGAAGCTGGAATAATTATTATTATTTTTTAATTCTTTATTTTTTATGTGCAGCAAGATAACATGGATAGTGTACATATTCAAGAGTATAAATCACATACGGTTATCCAGCAAACAATACAAGGAAACTGCACATTTAAAAAAAAATTTAACACGAAAATTATAACAAAAGTTACTCAATGCATAGAAATTGCCATATAGCTAAAGAGTGGGTCAAGATATATGCATTGGATGTTTAGACAGGCTATAGTAGGTATAAACAGACTTGTTACAGATATACTATTGGAGTATAGTAATTAAATTTACCACCCCTGGTTATAGAACATTGAAGTGCCACAGCACTCCCAAACAGAGAGAAAATAAGGAAAATGAAAACTAGATGCATGGCTTTAAAACATGGGTTAAGTGTGAACGCAGGCAGAAGTCCTGTGAGCATATTCAGCCAACTCCCTTAGGTGGCAATGCTGTTACTCCATCAGGAAAAACATCATTCAGAGACAGGGTGTCCATCCAGCCCCGGGCCTCCAGGAGTGCCGGTATCTGTGTACCACAGACTCTGGTTCTTCTTGCGACCAAGTCTATCCCCTTCAGGGAGAGGTCAGAGGATTTAGGGGCCAATCGCCGCCTGCAGGGATTCCTCCGCCTGTGTGCGCGATGCTGGGAGGTCATGCCTCTGGTGGCCCTTAACCCCGGTAGATGAGTATGGGGTTTTGTTAGCCGCTTTCTAGTTGCGTTATCCTGAGGAGGCCTTTCTGCCTCTGGGTGGTTGGTTCCCTATTGGTTGGTTCCCTAGTCTGATCTTGCTGGCTGTGTTGTGGGCATGAAGGTTGAGAACTGTTGAAAGAGCTCATCGAGCCACATCAGGAAGAGAGTGGAGTGTCTCCTTTGTTGAACTCACACCATGTGGGTCAGAGTGGAAGACAGTCGCCATCTTTAGATGCCTGAGGTTGAATCTGAATCTGCTCTGTTGGAGCGGTGAGGCTGGATCTAACAGCTTTAGATAGCCCAGGGGGGACCGGGATAATCCCCACAGGTCTGAGGGGGGAAAGTGGGGTTAGGAGTGCAATGGATCTGGGCCTCGAGTAAAAGCACGAGGAGATCGGCCACCTTTCCCCAGCTTCACTCACGGTAGGCCGCAGCAGGCTTGCCCAAGCATCCGCTGTCGGAGATTCTCAGAAAAGGTTTCATTCAGCGTGCCCGGGAGCCCCTGACCCGGGAAATATTGTATGGTCAGCGTGAGAGTGTGATGTTAGGAATTTAGGATTAATACTTCCAAGTCTGCTTATGTTGCAGGAGCTCAGACACCAAACATCTCCCCAGCTTGAAGGTCAGGCTCCTCCCCCTGAAACTGGAATAATTTTACTTTTTGAAATCCACTGTCAATTGTTTTTACTTTTCTGTTCCGTATAGTACTAATGAACAAACACACAAACAAACTAAACAAACAAACAAAAAAATAGTCCAAGCTGTATGTCCAAGCTGTATTTAGCAAATATTTGTAGAATTAAGGGGACAAGAAGTGATAAGAAACTATTTGAATGCTTCTAATCTAGGGACCCCCGGGTATTACTCAGTATTAAAGGAACACTATAGTCACCTAAATTACTTTAGCTAAATAAAGCAGTTTTAGTGTATAGATCATTCCCCTGAAGTCTCACTGCTCAATTCACTGTCATTTAGGAGTTAAATCACTTTGTTTCTGTTTATGCAGCCCTAGCCACACCTCCCCTGGCTATGACTGACAGAGCCTGCATGAAAAAAAAACTGGTTTCACTTTCAAACAGATGTAATTTACCTTAAATAATTGTATCTCAATCTCTAAATTGAACTTTAATCACATACAGGAGGCTCTTGCAGGGTCTATCAAGCTATTAACATAGCAGGGGATAAGAAAATCTTAATTAAACAGAACTTGCAATAAAGAAAGCCTAAATAGGGCTCTCTTTACAGGAAGTGTTTATGGAAGGCTGTGCAAGTCACATGCAGGGAGGTGTGACTAGGGTTCATAAACAAAGGGATTTAACTCCTAAATGGCAGAGGATTGAGCAGTGAGGCTGCAGGGGCATGTTCTATACACCAAAACTGCGTCATTAAGCTAAAGTTGTTCAGGTGACTATAGTGTCTCTTTAACATCTACCTCCTGCTGTAGTGATCATAGTTTAACAGAATAATATACGAGGTTTAAAAATATATATATTTACATAAACCAGAGTAGTTTAGTATTCTTAGTAAATCTGTATTCTTATTAAATCACATTCTTTAAACACTCATGGCTCACGTTACTGTGTGTGCAGAGCTTATGGGGAACTAATCAGATCTTTGTATGTATTTTCTTTTAGTCACAGAACGGAGAAAGTCCAAATTAGAAAAAATGGACACTGCTGATCGGCAGCTGAAGACGAATGCATAACTCCCCTACTCCCTCCGCCTGTAATTAAAATAAACTTTAATTCTGCTTACTGCTGAGAAAACTGGTTGATGAGACAATACATTACATTAAGAATTGGGATTCTAACAGTGTTGTCTTCTTTCCAAATCCTTGTTTTAAAATATAGCTTTTTATTGGCTTTAGCGTTTAAACAATACATTGTGCTTAAATGACATAGGAATTGCAAACCAATATACCCCCACACCCCACCTCTCCCCACACCCCAGAACTGCCACAACAGCCAAAATGAAAAAGTGACACAGTTAGGAATTTTTGGCACTTTTTCATTTTAATTTTCTCTTTAATTTGCCCCACTTTTCTACTAAGGGAAAATGCCGCACTTTACTATAAACTATCAGAGCCTTCACCAATATCACATAACTGAAGGCTACAGCCTTCCAGAAACCAGACTCAAAGAAAATATGAATGGGAGGATAATTTGATTAATTATTCGTTCTTTTCAAGTGTTGATATGAGTTACTATACTGCTAATGAAAATATGATGCTGCAATTCTAGAGTATACAACTAAAAATAGGAACACAATTAAAATTGGGAATTGCTACGAATGTTTAATATAAAAGTCAAGAAATGTCCATTTAAAATCTTCCTATAAATGGTTTTATAAACAGTTGCTTAGAGTCAAGTTTAACCCTTGATTAACATGGTCATATTCTCTTTTTATGTTAAACAGCTGTGTTTCGAAGACTGCGCAATATTTTGCTTTTTTTCTCTTAAATCCTCCTACCCCAGCTAGTGCGCGAAAAGGATCCATTAGCGATTTCAGTATGCCGTGTAAATCTTAAATAGAGATGTCAAAAAAAAGATAACTTTTACATAGATAAATCGATTACTGTTTTTGCCTACTATATATGCATGGTAATGTACATCAAACATAACCCAGCACAAGGGCAGGAAACAAATAAAATGTTAATTTTGCTCAATAAGCAATAAAATGCATTGTATGATACTTAAAATGTTACTGAAATATTTGTTTGTTCCCATTTTTTTTTTTAACAAGATGGTATTTCTTGCTCATTCCACAACCAATAATAAAAAATAAAATAAAAGTTATATGTAAGATATATATAATGTCACATAAGATATATGTTAAATACACGTAAACATGATATTGGGTATCCTGGAAAGCGACAGTTATCCTTTAAGACGCTTACCTGGGGGGAATCGAATAATTATGCTTGAAATTCCATGTGTACTCTGTGGTAGAACAGACAAAGGATTTTTTGTGAAAAATCTTCTGACTTAACACATGTGCCAAATAACATTGAAATCACCCAAAACTCCCCTTAAACATCTATTTAACCCCTTAAGGACACATGGCATGTGTGACATGTCATGATTCCCTTTTATGCCAGAAGTTTGGTCCTTAAGGGGTTAAACTGTGGTAAAACATAAATGCGGCCAACTCACTAAGCTTCACATTGAAAACGGAATTGCAAAATTTTGCCTACAAGGTTTTACTGTAGCAAAGTTTGTCTTTTTTTCAATGTGTTGGCCTCAGTCTTAATAACAGGCTGTCTGTTTGTCCCAAATCTAAATTTACTGAATAATTCCCTCTTTAATCGATTAGCACGGACTAATTTAAAGCGGCAATGTCACCGTCTGGGGACTTTGCCAAATGCACTAATTATGAAAGTTCCCATGTTGCCAACATTATATCTACCAAGACTTTCAGACCTTACCATCTGGTCGACAATCCCTCTTTTGCTGAAAATCCAGTAATGAGTAAAACTGTGCAGGTCCACACCAGCAGTTGGTGTTTTGTTAGCAACACAAGAAGACAGTTGGGATTTAACAGTGATTGATTGACTCCACAATAACGTTCAGTTTATAATTGTATAAACGTAATCCAGGCACTCCAAAATGTTCCAAAAGATAGGCAATTTTATTGGACCCAAGAACCAAAATACAAAGTTTCGACCCCTTAGGGCCTTTGTAAAGCTACTGAGCACATTTCTTACAAACAATATATAGGTGCATAAAATAATTATCAAGTGATAAAACATGTGAACTACTACAATCAATTAATTACATAGTTAATCAATAATAGTTAAGCAATTGTCAAACATAATCATCTCTCCAATCATTTTCCCACATATAAGGAATGTCAAACATCACAGGATAATACAACCAACAGAACACTAGGCTCATCAATTATTAAATAATTTAAAGAGATTATTTTAATTACCAATAATTAGACAAACTAGTGTAGATGAATTGGAAACGCCAGGACACAATAATGTGTGTAATTAATTAATTGCAGTAGTTCACATGTTTTATCACTTGTTAATTATTTTATGCACCTATATATGGTGTGTAAGAAATGTGTTTAGTAGCTTGACAAAGGCCCTAAGGGGTCAAAATGTTGTACTTTGGTTCTTGGGTCCAATAAAATTGCCTACCTTTTGGGACATTTTGGAGTGCCTGGATGACTTTTCTACGATTATATGCTATGTCTGGTCCCTTTGGTACTGGGACTGATCCAAGAGCACCCTAGGATTCCAGGGCAAAGGGTTGAGTGCAGTTCCACAACCTGTTTATGAATAACGTTCAGTTTGTCACATCCTACACTGACTGACGTCCATTGAGGTTACTATCGCACAGCACACATTTGATTGTTGTATTGGAGTTCAGAATTACTTTTATAAAGCGCTGCGGAATAAGTTGGCGCTATATAAATACTACTACTACTACTAATAAATTAAAGGAACACTATAGCGTTAGGAATATGAACATTCCTAATGTTCTATTCTTCCTCTGCCTATCAATCAACCTTCCCCCCCCCAACCCAGTGTGAGGATTTTAAAGGTGAGTTTACTTATCTTACATCGTGCGGTGCATCGGTCTCTGTGCCAAAGCTCTACCTCCGTGGCTGAGATAATTAATATTGTTGATTTCAAACAATCCAGTGCATTCCCTTAGGAATGCATTTGGAGACCAGTGTGACCATCTGATTGAAATAGCTGAGCTTTACTTGGCTTTTGGGGCAGAAGCGTCTTTAGTGGCTGCTAGTGTGACAGCCACTAGAGGCATTTTAACTCTGCAATATAAACACTGCCGTTCCTACAGAACAGCAATATTTTCAGATTTAGGGTTAAAACAACAGGGACATGGCACATACACCTCTTCATTGAAATGAAGTGGTCTCAGTGCCTATAGTGTCTCTTAATGATGCCACTTGGTAGAAGATTTTAAAAATAATTTCTAAGAAATATATTCAGTAAAGATGAATATGTTTTTTAAATTTATATAGGATTACATCTGGTACTTTAAACATGACGCTTGGATTTGCAATCTAATTTGAGGGTGCTGGGCTAGGAGACCCAGTATTTGTCAACACGCTCCACAAATATTTGAGATAAAATGAGGGTCAGTGCCCATAGCTTCTTGGAATCATAATGACTATACAGTGCTGCAGTGTCTGTGCTTTGTAAACTGCCCCTTTAAATGATTCTGCGGGAATAAAAACCGAGACATTGTGAGTGACCAGTAAATAAAATTACATTCAATAACTTAAGGACACTATGCCTGAAGTGTTTCTGGGTTGGATTGGAAGAATATCAATGTTGAAGATAATATTTCATCATAGAGGACTTGCGTACAAAAAAAAAAGGAGAAATAACAATTTAAATATACCCCGGTAGACAATAGGTTTCTCCAAGTAATAAGCAGTGCTATTGATATGCAGTGTAGAGATACACCTAAGAATCAGTCACTCGAGATACAATTAAATTAAATTGCAATAAGGAGCTCCAGTAGGACATGCAAGCCAGCTTATTTATGTTTCCCTTGTGCGCAGAAAATAGGAAAATATTTTTTAATACACCGACCACCCGAGGGATTGCCAGTACGGATTGTGATTGTATTCACTGAACTGTGAAATTAAGGTTTGATTCTTTATCTATACACATCTTTAAATGGACTTCTTGAGAAAATTCATGAACGTCAACAGGATGAAGGTTGTGTAGTAAAGAAAGTGTGCTCTGGATAGTAAGCAGAGTCTGAGACGGTCTTGGGGCAGATTTTTCTGGACACTGTAATAAATGTATATGACCGAAAAGCCACGATTTGGATTGGTGGTGATGTATTCCGGATGCTACAACTGAAATGCTTCCGATTTATTCCTTGGCAAGAGACAAACATCATATCTATAAAACAATACGATGAAAACGACAGTGGCCTTCTTCTCCATTGATTTCTTCTTATTATTATTATTACTTATAAAGCGCCAACAAATTCCGCAGTGTTGTACAATGGATGAACTAACAGACACAAAATTGTAGCCAAACGAGTTGGATGCACAGGAACAGAGGGGTTGAGGGCCCTGCTCAATGAGCTTCCATGCTAGAGGGAGTCGGGCATAGTCACACAAAAGGTACGGGTAGAAAAGGAGGTTGCTAGAAAAGTATCCACAGAGGGCTTAATGTTTTTTTTAAATGTTTTTATTTTGATGAACGCTACAGGAGAGGAATCAGGGTGCGTGGAGAGAAAGCTGTTAACAGGTTAATTGACACGCTTTCCTGAAAAAGTGAGTTTTCAATAATTTATTGATGGAATGGGGACTGGGTGAAAGTCTAACAGAGAGGGAAAGAACGTTCTATAGGAATGATGCAGCCCTAGAGAAGTCTTGAAGGCGAGCATCAGAGGTGGGAGTACGAACAGAGGATAGACGTAGGTCTTCAGCAGAGCGTAGGGACCTAGACGGGACATACTGTGTATATTAGGGAGGATAGATAGGTGGGAGAAGCATTATATAGAGATTTGTATGTTTGTACCAAAATCTTAAATTGAGCCCTATATCTTACAGGAAGTCAATGTAGGAAGTGATAGAGTGGGGAGCGCAGGAGGTACGGGAGGACAGGAAGATGAGCCTCATCGCAGCATTCATTATAGACTGTAAGGGACAAGTTGGGAACACAAAAGACCACTGAGAAGCGGAATGCAATAGTTGCCCATTGTTTATTTGCAAATATTTCCAATTTTTTCTATCTGGTTTCACATGGGCCCACTAAAAAGGAATACTTAATTTTGCTTTGTAGTCCAATTCGACCGTGAGAACCTTGTGAGAAAGTTCAGAGAAAAACTAAAGTCCCTCTTCAAATTACCTTGTGCATTAAGCAATAAGCTGTGCAATATTTTCTATCTTTCCCAATCTGCTCCTCAATGTATTTCATACACATGATAATTATCATGAACACGATGTCTATACAGTGCAGTCAATATGACCAAGTGGTACCTGAATACAGTTTCACCAATTCTGAATTTGCTATGTCTTTTTTTTTCTTTTTAATCCGTCTAGACAATTTGTCCTGATCAGAGCAGAGATAATTAGCATGTCTGTGTATCCAATGTGTGTATAGCAGCCCTGCACAATGTCAAACTGTTGGCATTCACACACTGTTTGCCAAACGACTTATTTTACTGCTTCATTACTCGTATGTAAACACATTTACCTAACAGTTACAGTGCATTTTATCCTGCTTACTAACAGGTGAACATGTGGATTAAAGCGTTAGGATGCCTATTAAAAAAGCATTATCACTTTTAATTGTATTTCTATCCGAGCAATGCTTTTTGTATACAATATCTAATATATTTTTAACTACCATTTTATGATATGTATATGGCCATCCGTTATGACAGTCTGTACTCTGTGATCCATCGGTCCTGTGAAGATGCAGTATGTGTCCTGCATGTCAGATACTTGGTTCACAAGCAAGAAGAGTAACCTAATCATGTTTACCTTTACAATCTGTATACCCAGGGCTGGATTTGCAACATCTTCAGGGACCCTATTTCCTCCTACAAAAAGTTCTCTGCTGCTATCTTAAAGGACCACTATAGTGCCAGGAAAACATACTCGTTTTCCTGGCACTATAGTGCCCTGAGGGTGCCCCCACCCTCAGGGTCCCCCTCCCGCCCGGCTCTGGAAAGGGGAAAGGGGTAAAAACTTACCTTTTTCCAGCAAGGAGAGCTCCTCCTTCTCTCTCCTCTCCTCCGTTTCCGCTGTCTGAATGCGCA